TTGCTTCTCCTTGTCCGCTTGCTCTTGGCTGCAGCCAGCGCTGCTGGGCACGCTGGGGCCTGATGGAATGCCTCGCAGCCCGGCCCCCGTGCGAGGCCGTGCATCCTGCCCTTTTGCAGAGCTGTAAGCACTCACTCACCCAGGCAGGCCTCACCATGGCCTTTGTTACTGCTCTCCGGGAAACCTTTGTGTGGCTGCTAGAGGTGGCACAAGGCTGAGCGCCCTGACAACTCTGTTTGGGAGACTCAGATGCCACCTCCCCCAGGGCCTCTCCACGCCCCAGGCCTCTCCCTCCCCTGGCGGCAGGCTTTCTCAGGGTCAGTGTTCTGCTTTTCTTTCACCAGGGCGCCCACTGTGCTGTGGGCCTGTTTGAGCTGCCCACAGGGCAGCGCTGAGATAAAAAGACCTGGGCCTGAGCCAGCAGGGAGGCAGCTTCTGGCCCCAGAGACCAAGGAACAGAAGAAAGAGATGTAAATGAGCGTCCAAGACATGAAGCTATTGGCTGGTGGCCAGGAAAGCAGCCAATAGAAGGAGGTGGGAGAGTCACGAAGAGGGGCAAGGGCAAGGGGGTAGCAGCGTGGCCAGACTGGGTGAGAGTGGCAGCTGGTCATTCTGTTGAGAAATGGATTCAGCAGAGAGAAGGGCGCCCTGGTACCCACGGATCTCGATGCTGCAGAGAGTGTCCAGCTACTTCTTACTTCTGTGTGTCCTTGGCAAGTGACTTCACTTCTTTGTGCTTCTATTTCCTGCTCTTTAAAATGGGGACAGTAATAACACCCCCTTCCAGGGTTTTTGCAAGGATTAAAAAAGCTCATGTGTGTAGAACACCAGGAAAGGATGCATGTTAGCAATCAGGTCACCTGGGTCCCTGGCTGCATGCACACCCCGTGGCTGGGTCAGGATCTTACAGGGACCACCTGATGCTCCCACAACTTGTTTTCCTTCACTCCATGTACCTTTTGTTTTGTTTTGTTTTTCCCTTCATGGAACTCATCTGTAATTTGCTCAGGCAAATTTCTTCACCTTCAGATTGCTCAAAGCCTTTCTGTCCTTTTCCATGTACATTCATTGAAGTTTACCAAAGATGGGTCTCCAGTACTGGGAGTTCAGGGCATCATGGAAGAGGGAGATCCACACGTCACTGATGGTGACACCTTCTCCCTTTAATGGAGTGACTGACTGGGGGAAATTTCATTGGTTTGCCTGGTCACTCCTTTGCTTCCACTGCACTTCTGCTGATGGTGGTGTTAATGTCCAACGAAATGGAAAGAAGCCAGGCCGGCAGAAAGAGCAAGCAAGAGCCAGATAATCCCTGAGTTCTGATCGTTCTCCAAGTCATTGCGATGAATTTTCATGATTCGCGTTAATATGGGGGCACACAGTTCCCAGATAACTGTATAAAAACAAGGATATGGTCTAAAGGTAACAGATCCTTCCTTAAATTCAACCCACCACCTCAGCAAGGCAAAGGTCTGATTGCCAAAAGGACATCCCTCCTGGAAGTGACCCACACATCTCAAGCCCAGTGGCCAAAATGGGACTCTTCATTCCTGTGCTTCTGCCTCTGTTTGCTCTATCAGTTAAACATCACATCAGATCACTTACTCAGCCAGAAACACTATAGGACACTCCTCTCCTCCTTCTCCTGCATATCCCTCCCCGTACCTGGGGGCTCCTGGACCTGTCACCACGTGCCTCCTAAATAGTCCATGACTCCGTGCCTCTTCTATTTAGCCTCTGATTCTGTCAGCATCCATAAATATGCTGTGCAACATCCACTCCCACTCAGGTTCACAGCTTGGAACAAGTCATTTGCTTTGCCTCCTGCACCTAGAGTCAGAGAATCTAGACCAGAATGAGCCAGATGGCTCTTAGCGTGTCTCCGGCGTCTGAGAGTCATGGGATCAAGACTGGGCTCAGCTAGGGTGACAGCTCCATGTGTGTCTCATCTTCCTCCTGGCACCAGAAGGCCAACCCGAGCATGTTCTTGTAGAAACAGCAGAAGCACAGGAGGTCAGCCAAAACACGTCACAACTCACTTTCTCTGCCAAACCTAAGCAAGTCATCTAATCCCAGGTCAAAGAGTGGGGAGTACGTGTCACATTATTTAAAGTCACATGGCTAAGAGTGAGCATACAGGTAGGTCACAAAGCTCAGGCCAGTTATGCAGCCTGTGGCCAGGTGTTTGTTATCCCTTGTGTGGACTCTTTGCTGACCCCTTAGCTCCCTATTTCATCTATAGTTAACCTCCTCCCTGACTTGATCCTGACACCCTTGTGTTGAAACCTTCCGTCACCCACCCACCCAACTGAGCTGACGCCCCGTACAACTTGGCTCCAACTCAGTTTTCCAGTGGCATCTGTTGCCATGTTTCAGAACGACTCGCCACCCCCTTCCAAATGTGCTTGTTTTTTTGTACAGTTTTGTACCTTCATACCCGGTCTCCCTCTTCCCCCAGGAATCTCTCCCACATTTGAGGTTATTATAAGTGAGATGCCGTTTACCCTTCAAGATCCAGTTCACATGGTGCCTCCTCTAGGAAGCCTTCTCAGGAGACCTGGAGAGAAAGAGTTGCTCTTTCCTCTCTCAGATAATCATACTTAATTCTTCCCCAGAGAGAGGGAGGGAGAAAGGGGGACAGTTTAATTAATTCCCCTGCCATTTTAGTCTGTGATTATGGAAAACTGGGACCACTTTAGTCATCTTTAGGTTCCAGAAGCCTCTCAGCTCCCAAAAGCCTCTTATAGAGGGATGAGGGCTTGGTTTGCTGAGTGGGCGAGTTTAGTCTATTATATGCAGCCCTGCAGCAAGCTGGGTACTTCATCTGGTGTTCAACCAAAGAAACGTCAGCACATCTGGCTGTGTTGTCGTGTTGTAGATCAGTACCACCCAAAACTTTATTGAAAATTCAGGGGATTTTCAGTGGTAGTATTGTCTTTAGGTAATCCTTATCTGGCATTGATTTCAGAATCTGACTCCTACTCCAAGATGTTATTCTACTGCATTCCTTATAGGCATGTTTCAGAGTGAATTTCCATTTTTTATGTCTGTTTCCCACCTAAATGAACTTCTGAAGTTCTCACCTGCAGTTTATGGTTCTTTTCAAGTGCTGCTGCCTGGGGTTGTGCAGGTTATGCACTGCACAATTCTAAGGTAGTATGTTTGTGCCAGAGTCTACATAAACACACTCCCAGCTGGTCCTCAGTGGTGCCAGCGTCCTTGTGTCCCTAGGGCCTTGTACATATCGATTGCTCAAGAAACGTATGACTGTGTGAATGAGAGTGAAGGCAACAATAAAATGAACTGTGTTCAAGTGAGATATTTAACGGGATGAAAATTCAGGCATATTTGATCCAACAAAATCAAAGCCCTGTTATTGCAGGTGCACATGGGTGAAATGGACTCGGTCCCACTCAGAATATCTTGTTTACCTACCACACACACATACACACACACACACACATTAAAAAAAAAAAAAACTTTGATCCTGTAAATGGATTGAGATTTACAGTTCATACTAGCACATCACACTTAGCAGACATTACTGACCACTGGTCACTCTCTGCCTAACATCCCTAGTAGACTTTGTGAGGTTCATGGGTAAAGACAGGTCTAGATAACAGATAATCAACAATTGGCCTAAAGAGATCTTCATTGCTCTTAGATTTGATCAAAAATAATTATATGAATTTGTGTAAAATTTATAAAAATAGGCAAATAAGAGCATCTTTTGAAAGAGCAAGCCTTTTCCAGGTGTAATTATCCGAGTTAGGAATGTGCCACTATGGCCAGCACATAGGACACCCCATGGGAATGTGTCACCAAGTTGCACAGTCATCTTCACACTTGCATTGGATGCTTGTAGGTGTTCTGACAGAGGACCGAAGGAGGTAGCTGACCCATTCAGAATGTACAGGCCACTAGGGGGACATGGCCCAACAAGAGTCCCCAGAGACAGCCTGACCTGGGCACTACTAGTCCCCTCATGTTCCCCCACCCCTAACCACTGCTCCAGTGAGCTCTGACAAACAGCAAGGACACTGCACTTGTCCCCTGTCATCGATTAGAGTGTTCTCCAGAAAGGCAAGCACATTGTCCTCTTCTGTATTTCCCGTGCCTTGCTCAGTGCCAGGCACATAGGAAGAAGCATTAAATAACTAATAAGTGATTGAGCAAAAAAGAAAAAATTCGTCATACCAGAGGGGTGCTGTGGTACTAGAAATGTCTAGTTCGCTTTTGCATCACACACACACAAAAAATGCCATAGAGGAGGAAAAGTTCAATTTGGGCTCCATTGCTCAGGGCCCAAGGTGAGGCAGCACATCATGGGGAAGGGCCCAGCAGAGGAAAGCTGTTTGGCTCATGTCAGGGTCAGAAAGCAGAGATAGGGAGGGGAAAGGGGTCACAGGGAATCTGCACCCTTCCAGGACATCCCCCAGTGATCCACCTATCCCCCAGTCACACCCCACCTGCCTAAGTTCCCACCCAGTCCATTCAAACTAGGGTGGTCAGATTAGGTTACAGCTCTCACAGTCCAATCATTTCACCTCTGAATATTCCTGCATTAACACAGGAGTTATTTGGGGCTCTCCTTATCCAAACCATAACCATTTGCAGGGTAAGGCATCACAGTTATTTTAGGCAGTACCAAATGGCCTGCAGATGATGGTGACACAGCATCTTCTCTTTGGGCTCCTTATCCCTTTCAAATCAGCAGAGCCTTGACTGTTCACCCAAGCTGATGACGTGGGGGACCCCAAAGTTTCCTTAAGACTCGCCACTTGGACACCATTCCTAGCAACAGCCCCTTCCTCTCTGGATGCTAGGATGCTGTCATAGTTTTTTGCATGTTAACTTGGGGTCAGAAAGTCATATATCATAGATTCAGATGAGTTAGAATTTAGCTTCTCTTCCTGCCAAGGTGGCGCATGTTGTCACCGTGCACCCCAAGGGAGTAATCGTTCTCATTCATTCGTTCATTATTGTATCTGTGCTCCCAGGTGAGCTTTCGGTGGAAGAGGCTCAAGACCCTTTCCTGGTTAGCATACACATCATCGCAGACCCCGGAGAATCCCAGCCGCTGCAGGAGGCCATCGACAAGGTCTTGGCATGGATCCACCCTGACCTTCCCCTGTTCCGGGTGTCTGAGAGGCGGGCTGGGCGGCGGCGGAGGAAGCCCCCCAAGGGGGCGCAGCCAGCGCTGGCGGTGGTGCTGTTCCTGCAAGAGGAATACGGTGAGGAGCAAATCTTGCAGCTCCACCGCATGCTGCAGCGGCCACCCTGGCGCCACCACCACACGGAGCGCGTGCAAGGCAGGTTCCTGCCCTACCTGCCCTGCAGCCAGGACTTCTTCACGCTGGCCCCCGGGACCCCTCTGTGGGCCATCCGACCTGTGCACTACGGCAAGGAGATCGTGCGCTTCACCATCTACTGTCGCCACGACAGCTACGCTGACAGCCTCCAGTTGTATGAGCTGATCCTGCGCCGGAGCCCCAGCCAGAGGAAAGCGGACTTCTGCATCTTTCCCATCTTCTCCAATCTGGATGTAGACATCCAGTTCTCCCTGAAAAGACTGCCCTGTGACCAGAACCCGGTGCCCACCGACTCCTCTCTGCTGGAGTTCCGAGTCAAGGACATAGGCGAGCTGGTCCCTCTCCTGCCCAACCCCTGCAGCCCCATCAGTGAGGGTCGCTGGCAGACCGAGGATCACGACGGCAACAAGATCCTTCTGCAGGTACCTGGGTTGCTCTGTCTGTCTGTCTGTCTAGGGAAACTGTGAAGCAAATCAGTTTGCCAGAAACCCTGGTCCCTGTTAAAGAGCCAGCAGTTAGAGACAAGGAGAAATCAGTGGCCTTGTCTGCCCCAGACCATATCACCATGTCTGCATACTCCATCCAAACAAAAGAGGAGGATGAGGGCCTCTTCTCCATGGCTCTTTTCATTCTGCTGCAGTGGCACAGGCTCAGTAAACCTAGGCACCTTCTCCTTTGCCCTCCCCCCACATTGAGCACCCACTAACTGCCCCTGGCCCCAGGGGATGTCACAAGAGGTTCTAACCTGGGGAACTTGCTATTAAAGGTTCCTGGCTCTATTCCTTCACACTTGGGGAGTTTGTACTGTGTAATCTTCACTCTGAAAAAGGAACTTCAGGAAAGCTCGTGTGTTGGACAATTGTTAAGTATGTGTTGTTGCCTGGAGAAGACATCTGTTCCCTTCCTCTGTCACCTCCCCTACATTCTCCCCTCCCACCCTCCAATGCTGGCTCAGGTTGTTAAAATTCATGGTCCTGTGAAAACATGACTTCCTTCTCAACATTGAAGGTGTAAGAGATGCCTTTGGAGTTTCTGCATTCACTCAGCCAGGGAAGGGTTGAGCAAACACATTTTTTAATTTGTTGTAATCAGTTATACACCACAGTAGAATGCATTTATGCACTTTGATATATCATGCATAGATGGGATATAATTTCTTATTTTTCTGAATCGTATCGGTGCCAATACCATGCCACTGTAGATACCACTGTAGCTCTGTGGTATCTCTGGTATTGTGATGCCTCCTGCTTCACTTTTCTTGCTAAGGATTGCTTTAGCTATTCTTGGTCTCTTATTTTGAGTGAACATTTTAAGGACAGGAGACTGACCCAGTTCTTCCATGGCCAACACCTTGGTGGCATTACTGGCTGCCTTTCTCCTCTCATCCTTTCAGTAGGTATCCCAAATTCACTAGAAATAGTTGATTATATTCAATAATGCCTAGAAATTGAAGAACTTCCTATACCTAGCCTTACCTCATGAGCTCTTTCCAACTCAGGCCCTTCTTGAATTAATAGGTAAGGCAGTTCCGGTCCATAGCACTTTGTTTCTCTGAAAAACCTCAACCTCTGTCATCCCAGTCTTCATGTTTCTCTACCTGAAAAGAGAATGCTTGTAGCCACTTGGGGGACATTGCCTCCAGAGGTGCAGGTGCAGGTAGTAGAATCACAGGTGGTTTCACAGTAAGCCCCAGAACTGTACTCCTCATATGATGAGATGAAATGAGAATTTGGCACATGTCAGATGACTGGTCCAAAATGCAGCCAAGGCGCATTGCTCAGGCCAGAAAGGTCACTTTGACCAAGCATGGTGGCATATAACCATAGTCCCAGCTAATCAGGAGGCTGAGGCAGAAGAATCACTTGAGCCCAGGAGATCAAGGCCATCCTGGGCAACCTGGCAAGATTCTGCCTTAAAAAAAAAAAAAAAAAAAAAGTCACTTTGAGATGTTTACCTTTTATAGGAATCAGATAATTTTCAGATTTCCTCTTGAAGAAACTAAGTAACGTTGCTTTATTATTGAGTAAACTGATTTGTACCATTGGGTCTATAATCCCCTTTGAAATGTGAGAAAATTTTTCATCTGCACTCACAGACTGCCAATTCTTTATGCAAAATATAATACAGTAGCACCAAGTAAAAGCTAATGCGATGCAAAGGATTATGTTTATACGAAAAGACCAAAATGAATGTGATTATTTCTGAAGTGATTTCTTCCTTTTTGTAGTAATGAGAGGGTTTTTTTTCTCTTGATCCTTCTAATAACATAAATGAAAGAACAAAGTATGAAAGCATGGCCTGGGCTTAACTTAAAGAAAACAATGAAAGAATATTTCAAAGAAGATCTATGCATTTAAATAGCTATAAAATCTATACATGTGCAGGCTTTTGAAGTTAGGGGGTCATTCAGAGAGTAAGAAAAAGGATTTGTATCTTGGGACTCAAGACTGCAGACCTTTGTTCAAAGTAGTAGTATGTTGAGTGGTAGTATGTCAAATTAACATGGACAGAAATGACAAATGGCCCCTTCACAATTCTTGATAATAGCCATTAGAATAGGATTGCTGTTCATTTGCATGTTTACAGAGAGCAGCCTTCTATTTCACCATGGGATATACACATATCCATCTCCTTAAGTTACTTTTCAAAGTAAAAAATTTATATTTCAGTCTTCAGCAAAGTCAAGATATTTAGGTCATGGGGTAGAATACCTTTTGATCCTCATTTTCTTTAGTATTCTATGTTCCCTAAGTCTATGTTCAATTATAATGTTTAACATAAAAATTTTGCTCAGTTGGATGCAGTTATATGCTGAAAAAAAAATCTCAAGTGAGAGTAGTTTTTCCTTGCCTTGTTAAAATCTAGATTGTATTTTACCTTCTCCCTCTGCTGCATTGACTTACATTCCATATACCAGAGACTTCATCCTCCCCTTTTAATTGTTGTAAAAGAGAAAATCTGAGATTTTTTTTTTTTTTTGGAAGCCATTCAGCCTCTTCTGAGAATTAGGAGATGTCTTTTACTAGAATCAGATAAGAAAGGGAGAAAACTGTTCTTCTGAAACTCACCTCTCCTTCCTTCTTGGCATTGGTCTTCCTTCTTGCCTGGTCCAGAGGGAAGATGGGGAGGGCTTGGCCTCATCACTTGCGTGATATCCAAATTTGCATGGATGCTCGATGATATTAAACCACAGCTATGTGGAGTCAAAGGCTCTAATGAATCTTTCCACCTCCCATCCAACTGAACCAATGTTGTACTGTGAAGCCAATACGTTCTCTTTCTATGTTTTTATTTTCTTTTGATTGGAGACTATAAGTAAGACACATACTGAAAAGTGCACAAGTCATAAACATACAGCTCAATGAATTTTCACCAACCAAATATTTGTACAGCCAGCACAAAGTTAAAGAAAAAGAACAGAGACTAAAACTGAAGAAAAGGTCTCTTTCCCTACTCCTAGGCCTTCTTACCCTTGAATGAACATGTTACTACTCTCTAAAGTACAAAAGGGAGAGGTAGAAATATCTAATTTTTAAAAATAGCTTGGGAATATCTTCTCTTTTTTTGCATTTGTTAATGGATCTTAGACTTTAAAAGAGATTTAATATGGCTGATAAAAATATATACTACACAAAAAGATTAATAAAAATGAATACAGAAGAACTTAAAGGGTAAATGTCGATAGGAAAATAAGAAAAACCCAGTGTGATATCCAAAATGCATGTCATTTCCTATGTACTTTCTAGAGTCATGCCCTTCATTGGTAGCCACTAGCCACATGTGGCCACTGGAATCTAAATTTTAAGTTAAATTTAAAATGCCATCCCTTAGTCACACTAGATACATTTCAAGTGCTCAGCAGCCACATGTGTCTAATGGCTACCACATTGAATAGTGCAGAAAATTTCCAACATGGCAGAAAGTTCTGTTTGAGAGTGTTGCTCCGGAAATAGGCTCCAAATTTGACTTGGAGTTTTCCAGCAACAAAAGAAAAATGGAAAATCATCAATGATGTGATGCAGAATCTGTAAGGGGAAAAAAAATCAACCCTTTTAGATGTACAAACATCCCTGGTTCTGGGATGCAGAAGCAAAGCCCTCCTATTTTTTCATGTCCACAGTGGTGCCGACAGCCTGTCCTTAACTGCTCCCCTAGAATCACCATAACAGGGGCTCACAAAGCTCTTATAAGTGGTGTCCCAGTGCAGGCCAGGCCTGTCGGCCAAGGCAATTCATAAAAGCCACTGCACAGAGGGAGCCTGGACTAAACAAGGTGGTCCTTGTCTATGGCTCCTGGTGGTTTTGCCAAGTCCCAGAGAGAGGAATGCACCTTCAGATAATCCCCCAAAGCTTTGTTTCCATGCTAGCAAGTAACAGTTAGTTTGCCTTTCTGTTCTCAACCAAGTGCCTGAAGAACACCTGTCCCCTGAAGGTAAAGGACAGTCAAATGTACTGCAACTCATTCAAGCTGCACTGTGCACTGTCATCATCTGAAAAGACTGACAAGGACACAACCCAAATGGAAATCTACTCACTGCCATAAGAAGCAATTCCAGGGAACTGGAGACTATCATGCTAAGTGAATTTAGACAATCCCAAAAAACCAAAGGCTGAATGTTTTCTCTGATATGTGGATGCTAATTCACCATAAGGGGTGGGGAGACGATTAGGGGAGACTAGAAGTACTTTGGATTAGACAAAGAGAGATGAAGGGAAGGGAAGGGGAATGGGAACAGGAAAGATAGCAGAATGAACTGGACATTACTATCCTATGTGCATGTATGAATACACGACCAATGTAATTCTACATCATGTATAACCAGAAGAACGAGAAGTTATATTCCATACATGTATACTATGTCAAAATGCATTCAACTACCATGGATAACTAATTAGAACAAATAAAAAAAAAAGAAGCAATTCCAGGTCTGTTCAGGCAGATAGACAAAAACACAGCTGAAGACCCAAGGCTGAAGCCCACAGTAAGAACAAGTCTGCAATTTTAGACTAGAAAATCTTGAAAGCAGGTTGTTTAGATAAGCAAGGTAATGAATAATGGTGCCTAAGTTCTACGGACTACTTCTATAGATGACAGTCACTGCTCTTCTTTTTTGACAAGTCCCAGAGGGAGGACTGCACCTTCAGATAATCCCAAAGCTTTTTCTCTGAGTTCTCCTAAGGCCAAAGGAGAAGTGACCTTCAACAGAAGGTTTCAAGTAAGATTGAAAAGGGACAATGACTTGACACCAGGACTTATTACCAATTGAAATGAGCTCCTATGTAGAGCCATGGGACTGTCTCTAAGATCTAGAAGAGAGCTCCTAAGATCTCATCCACATCAGCTGGTTTACTCTTCTTTATGCACCAAGGCAATTGACTGGCCACTCCATCCTGGAATGTTGGGGACACCAATTCTGTACGAC